TCTAGTTAGACAGGAACTGCCATGTTTGTTAGACAGACAGGACGCTACCTGTTCGACAGGAAGTAAGTACCCTACTAGTTCGAGGTGGTGTTCTATCTACTTATCCTGCCTTTACCATAAACAGAACTACTAATAGCTTGGTCTGTATTTAGACACCAAACGTTCAAGAGTATCGAGTGTCCACAGTATATCGCACGCAGTATCTAATAGATGTGTTTAAAACATTACACAGATGTATTAGAAAGAACAAATGATACGACGCTTTCAGACTCTCTTGTGAAGCTTCATTATAGCAAAGACCTTTCAAAACTCGATGACACCAAATAAGGTTTATGTGTCAATGCGGAGAGACACGAGTAACGACTATCAATGCCCGAGCGAGTTAATTAAGTACTGTTAATGGATCAGTGATTTAAGTCCTTACAGAACGAAGTTTATGGCACGTGCTTTCTGATGTCACTGACACGTCATCAGTTAACACTGGGATGCTTCTGAGGCCCCCAAAGGATACCTCATAAAATTGGTCACAAATCATAACGGCAATTCCGTAAATGGATAAATGGGTTTGTATTTAAAACATGGAAACTATTTTAGAGCAATTTTTATTCGCTGAATTACTTCAAAGAACAACTTTTTAAATTCAAAGTTTAAAAAAGTAGCAGTCTGTGTATATTCAATATATATATTTTTGAATCTTGTTCAGTTGAACACATTCATCTTCATGAGCTCTACCTATGGGATAGAAATGGATATGTTTTAAAATGTGTTGATCTTTGAAATAAATTCATAGAATCATATTAGTGGTGTTGGAGGCTAAAGTCATAAAGACCAAACGGTACTGATCTGTTACTAAAATATACAAAGACTCTAAGCTGTTACGATAAATCAACTACTACTTGTCCGGTACCCTCAGGACATTTGGTCCACTACCTATAGTGCTGGTAGTAACCAACCGCTTTATAAGTGAAAGTGAGCGTAACCTCTGGATATGGAGGATGCAGGACATTTGGTTCACCAACAGCGATACCGACCTGGTGTTGGTAGAAACAAAACACTACACACTGACTGAAATATGATTTAATTTATTCATTAATTATGTATAAACAGCTTTTTCCCCTTCCTTTCAGGAGAAAAGACATAACTCTCGAATGAATCAGAAGAGAATCGATCTTCTTACAATTCCACACTCTTGCAGCGCACATGGTCATGTTAGTCCGACCCGCACCAATTCAAAGTCTAATCAAGCACTTCACGTCATCGACCCAGACTGCATGCATTGAGCTTCACCTCGTATAAGTTTCCAGTGTTCTGTCTTTATAAAGACACAATTATGTTGGGTCTATATAAAACTATCAAACGCTGGCATCTGTAATTGAAAAGATAATGAAATAAGTTGATTATCAAGTTAATAAATACAAAACAACATTTTTTATTCGTTCTTCCTTTGAGGAGTCGTCGTTAAATGTTGACGCCAATATATTATAACACTCAAACATACATTGCGGTATTGGTTTGGTTTGGTTTAATTTTGTTTAACGCCCTATTACATGTAACAGCTAAGGTCATTTAAGGACGTGCCTCCATGTGTGTAGTGTATGCGTGCTTGCTTGTGTGTATGCAGGAGACAGGTATGTGGGTGTGCCTGCCTCCTTGTGATAGCGCGGATCTGATGCCGACTTTATAGTGCTGTCTCACTGAAATGCCATGCCTAAGGCACCCAGCATAGCATTCCGCCAGGTCATATTATACTGACAACGGGTGAACCATTTGTTGCCATTCCCCTAAACGCTAAACGTTAAGCAGGGAATAACAACTACCATTTTAAGGACTTTGGTATGTCCCGGTCTGGGGATAGAATCCATTGCAGTCGGTAAATGGGTCTGTTTGTTCTATAACACATTTCAAAAGGAATGAAGATATATGTTGAAATCACCAACAAAATAAAGCAGAATATGTTATTTTAAACACGTTATTTTATCAATTCTATAGTACTACATCCAAATACCTCTTCTCTGCTTCTCTCTTTAATTTCTACGTGATAAAGCTGCTGTCATTTTATCTGTAAACCAATGTAGTGGGAATGGACTGTTCTAATGGAGTATAATGTCTGGTATACACTTAATAGTAGCACATTATCATTGCGAATTACACGATATATTGATAAAAACAGTACTCGTATTCCAAAGTGTAGTGAATGGAAACAGCGTGAGCGAGCATATGATAATTAAATAAAGTGTTACTTCTGCAGATGTATTTAGCAAGTGCATACATCTTCAAGCTGTCCGTGTATTAACTAGTGCAATAAATATAATCTACATGAAGTTTCATTAAAACACAAAGGCATAATTTTATTACATTGAGATAAGCGATAACACTGTAGCGGCGCTTGAATTTATAACCACAAAGGTTACTGTCGGCGTGTACCCAAAGACATCCCCCTTCCCTACATGAACATCCTCCTTTCCTCCATATCATACTCGATCACATCCACAGCCTTTATCCTGTAATATGTAATCCATGTAAAACACTTTGTGTGATTTTTCTTATTTAATTAAAAAGATAAAAGTTAATTATGATTTAAACCAAAGGTTGTCTGGTGCAATTTTTAGTAGTTATCAGGCTCTATACAGAGTGTGAGAAGAGCTGTGTCTCTTAGTCATAAGATTTATTTTAAATTCTTAACGGTTCTCAAATGGTCCTGAATGCTTCTTAGTTATAACGGTGATTCTAATGGCCATGTGTTATTGTGATACAGTGGTGTATCCGGCGGGAAAACAACATGCTTTCCCTTTATACATTTTATCGATTGTATCTGATATCAAATTAACATCTGTTATGTAACCATATGTGTCATAAAATAACCTTACAAGTTGATGCATCATTGAGCTATTGTCTACACTTGTAGATAGCGTGATAACATTAGCCGGGGTGTACTTTTGATAACATTATTCGGGGCGTACTTTTGATAACATTATCCGGAGTGTACTTGTGATAACATTAGCCGGGTGTACTTTTGATAACATTAGCCGGAGTGTACTTTTGATAACATTAGACGGAGTGTACTTCTGATAACATTAGCCGGGGTGTACTTTTGATAACATTAGCCGGGGTGTACTTTTGATAACATTAGCCGGGTCGTACTTTTGATAACATTAACCGGGGTGTTTTTGTGATAACATTAGCCGGAGTGTACTTGAGATAACATTAGCCGGGTCGTACTTTTGATAACATTTACCGGAGTGTATTTGTGATAACATTAGCCGGGGTGTACTTGTGATAACATTAGCCGGAGCGTACTTTTGATAACATTAACCGGGGTGTATTTGTGATAACATTAGCCGGAGTGAACTTGTGATAACATTAGCCGGGGAGTACTTTTGATAACATTATCCGGAGTGTACTTGTGATAACATTAGCCGGGGTGTACTTGTGATAATATTAGCCGGGGTGTACTAGTTTACTCAATGAGGTACCTCCAACCCGCTATAGGTTCAAAAGGTGTTGTAAATGGTGTGTATCATTTGAATTCTGATATCTGTATTTAATTTTTGACTGTAGTCAAACACATTTGTGTTTCAATACCTATTTTACAGGCAATAGTATTTGGTGAGCTTTTAAAGTAATTGCAAATATGTAATTACAGTGAATTCCTTCTGATTAAAACATGAGTACCAGTTCTGAGCTGAGTACTCATTGTTCTATTTTGACTCTTAACGTCAAAAGATAGTGGTTAAACTTTAACATTAAATACCCTAAACTTACTAAAATGTATTGTGCTGTGAAAAGATAACAAGAAAAATTAAGTTGTTTAATTGATCAGTTTCGTGACATCGTACTGAAGATGTATTTGAAAGGAATTTAGTTTGCGATAAGGAGTTTTTATTTAATCTTATTTTAACGTGAATCCTTCTTTAATTGATAAACGAGTTGGCACTGAAAAGTAATATGGTTTGTGTATAGAACCCTATAGCGGGGTTTTCTGGAATATCGACTTCTGTTTTATAGACGGTATACCGTTATCAAATATGACGTAATACATAGCGGATATAAACTGTTATGTACGAATTCAGCAAGACCTTGGAATAAACATTATCCCACAACACAATTAAACATCATAAATATTAACCCACAACACTATTAAACATAATAAACATTATCCCACAACACAATTAAACATAATAAACATTAACCCACAACACAATTTTACATAATAAACATTAATCCACAACACAATTAAACATAATAAACATTAACCCACAACACAATTAAACATAATAAACATTAACCCACAACACAATTAAACATTAACCCACAACACTATTTAACATAATAAACATTAACCCACAACACAACTAAACATAATAAACATTAGCTCACAACACAATTTAACATAATAAACATTAGCTCACAACACAATTAAACATCGTAAAGGTTAACCCACTACACAATTAAACATAATAAACATTAACCCACAACACAATTAAACATCATAAACATTAACCCACAACACAATTAAACATAATAAACATTAGCTAACAACACATTAAACATCATAAACATTAACCCACAACACAATTAAACATAATAAACATTAGCTCACAACACAATTAAACATAATAAACATTAAACCACAACACAATTAAACATAATAAACATTAACCCACAACACAATTAAACATAATAAACATTAACCCACAACACAATTAAACATAATAACCATTAGCTCAAAACACAATTAAACATAATAAACATTAGCTCACAACACAATTTAACATAATAAACATGAACCCACAACACAATTAAACATCATAAACATTATCTCGCAACACTATTAAACATAATAAACATTATCTCACAACACAATTAAACATCATAAACATTAACCCACAACACTATTAAACATAATAAACATTAACCAACAATATAATAAAACATAATAACACTTAACACACACCACATTATAGTAATAAGGTAATTCCATGAATTATATTTCATTCCAGATTACGTCATAAAGGTGGAAAAATACTTCATGGAAAGCACATGCTGTTTCTGGTAGTGGTGCTGAACATTATAGATTGCGCCCTCGTGCTAGGCGAGCTCGTGCTGGATCTACATCATGTGAAAGGTAAGAAGTACAAACCGAAAACGATTCTGATATATTTGGTGTCCGGACTAAACATGTCATTATAACTACCACGAGGTAAACAGTTACCACAAACTATACAAGACGTTTGTCGGAACGGACAAAGTTCACGGAACACACTCCGTTATAAACCAGTCACTGTTATTTCCTTATTAACAAAAGAACACACATAATTAAAAATGTAGTCAGTATTAATCCCAATAGAAAAATACATAAAATTAAAAAAGTAGTCGCTATTCACCGTAATACATATAAGAAACACTCTGCAACGAATCAGTGTTCCTAATAGACAAAGAACACATATCGTTACAAATCACTTACTTTTGTTCCTAACAGAAAAAGAACACATATCGTTACAAATCATTTACTTGTGTTCCTAGTAGAAAAAGAACACATATCGTTACAAATCACTTACTTTTGTTCCTAATAGAAAAAGAACACATATCGTTACAAATCACTTACTTTTGTTCCTAATAGACAAAGAACACATATCGTTACAAATCACTTACTTTTAATTCTAATAGAAAAAGAACACATATCGTTACAAATCAGTTATTTTTGTTCCTAATAGAAAAAGAACACATATCGTTACAAATCACTCACTTTTGTTCCTATTAAAAAATACAAAACAGTCACTTTGTTCCTAATAGATAAAGAGCACACACCGTTAAAAACTTCCTCAATTGTTTCTTGTAGACAAGGAATATACAATCTTACAAACAAGTCACTATTGGTCCTTCTATACAAAAGAATAAGTTCAAGTTCAAGTTCTTTATTAACTTTGAGTCTTGCGACTCATCAGTGTAACACATATACATGATATATATATATATATATATATACTTTCTCATAACATTGACAAATATCGAAAATACTAATAAATACACAGACGAGACAAAACACTCGGAGAGCATAACTACTTATGTTAATAAAGCTCTTCTTGAATTTGCAGCTTTAATGTATTTGGCCAATTTTGCTAATTCATTTGTGTTTTGTCCGTTAAATAACTGAATTAATTTAAACATGCTCGGTTTTTTACAATAGTACTTTTTTAAAAATTTCTCACGTAAATCAGAATACACACCATTATGTAACGTTACAAACAAGACACTATTGGTCCTTCTATACAAAAGAACACACACCATTATGTAACGTTACAAACAAGTCACCATTGATCTTGATAGACAAAGGCTTCAACTTTCAGTTCCCAATTAAAGCCTTACAGGTTTACGGTTCCTTAAATCTGTTTTCAAAGGTTTCGCCACGTGACGAGATATTATTTTGAAAGCATTCTGTAATTATGGATACAAGAGCAAAGGCATTTTACCACACTAACCGGGTTTCACAGCTAGGCTTGAATTGGTGCGCAAATAATTTTATTGAATTTGTTATCAAATTTATCGAAAACCTATAAAATGCTTTTGCAATTATGTAAAGTACAGTTTTAACTCTTGTTTCACGGAGTAATCTTGATTGAAATTGACAAGAGAGAAAGGCAAACCATCAAAACAGTAATTGAACTCCGTTTTTAAGCTTTGAATTCAATTCTATTTCATTTGCCTGGAGATATCACCTTTGTTTAGGGAAAGTATCATTGCCCAACACAATTCACGTCTGCGTTCTACCGAATTTCATAATATGCTAACACTACCGCGAGTTTCAATTCTGAGATAAAACCACCATGGCAGTGTTGAACCCTAGACACATTAATGACATTATTCGTGTTTATTTTTTTGACTTTTCACAGATTAATTCTATTTTGTGTATAGTTTATTCTTAAGCAAGATAAAAGTAACAACAAAATGAAAGATTTCAAAATATCGACCTTCAACACTACCCCTGTCGAACAAGATGTTTCCGGGTAATTTGCTGAGTATCTTAGTTCCGGAGATGAACGTAAGATGTTAGTTATCACCAGACGGGGCACCAATAACTTCACTTGTTTAATAATAGATATCCAGTCACCCTAGAGCACAATTACATGTACTAACTATTTAAACGATTTCGTGAACAAAATGTTATTTTGATGTGTGCATTTAATGAAAATTCAATTACCGAAAGATTGGGGTGTGTGTATCTCGATATCTGCCTGGTGTTAACGGTCCCTGAGTAACACACTGTTGTAATAGCTCGCACTGCTCGCTATGTTAACTTAGAGGAATGTTTACGACGGCAGTTCTGTCTTGATAGCAACTGCAAAATTTGAATTAAGCAAGAACAGCTGTTACGATCATCCCATGTCAACTCTGGGTGGTTTTTTTGGTTGTATACATAAACCACAACGCATATTCTGTGGTAGTGAATAACATTGCACTTTCATAGCGGAATTCGGCACGCCATGTGTATATCGACAGTAAGCGGATATCTCTTCTTGTTCCAATAACAACTTCCAAAAAACAATCTATAAAAAATATTCCCGATATTGATCAAACAGGTGTTTTGTTGGAAAGTAAAAAAAAATCACAACATCTTATGCTTAATCGTAACTACAGCGTCTTCAAATACACAGAAGTAATGTGAGAGCAACATTGTTTCTCCTGCTATATCAGAATGTGGTCTAACACTATACCAGGTCTAGAGGTTGATCATTCCTACAGTAGTTTATTTGTGCATTAAATCCGCGTTTCAGGGTTTGTTCCGAAGGTAAAGTGTTGTGTTTGTACGTATAAAGATAATTAGGATTACGTTTGATGACGTGCTTTTTATAACGGGGGACCTACACCCATTCGTGAGATGAGCAGACTAATTACTGTCCGGTTAGATCTGAAAAGCGTTTAGGTTATTGATTCTTTTAGTGTGTTCAAAGTGTACATGAAAAACCAATATTTGTTGTTGATATTATCCACAACATAGCGGTTGAATAGGTGCAGTATCAGTTTAGTGTCTACAGAGTGAAATGCATTAATTTTAATGACTGAAAGAACTCAAATCAAATATTAATTAAAGATACATTTGCTTATCGTAATACATAAACTTAGGAATTAAAGGTGCCGACTAGATGAACAATTTATGTAAATACTTCTACGAATGTAAGAGTGTTACATTAAAACTGTATCACCTTGAAATTGACGGCTGTCAGTTTTGGAAGAGTTTTTGGTTGAAATGTTCATCCTTTCTTTTTTCAGATATAATGTCCCATTCTCAGAAAACGTCTTCGGTGTTCCTTCATAGATTGCAGGACAACTATCCCAACCACGTCATGCATACTGATATTCATGATTTAAGCAAGATCTACCAGCAAATACTGAGAGCAAAGATAGATTGGAACGTAGTTGACACTGCAAACGCCTCTTCCACTGTTCCCCCGTATACGGACGTCACTACTACCCATGTTGGACCAAACGGAACTCGGGATAGCACAGCCCAAAACGACTCTTTACCATTTGATACAAGCCAAACGCACAGTCGTGTAAAAAGAAGTGCCGGTGGAAGCTCTTCCTGTGATTTTCCCTTTTCCGGTTCCGGTCTCACACATTCCACCAGTATTGAGGAGCGAGTGGCTAATGGGCTACATAAAACTGGTCTCTCTATTGTTTGTGTGCTTCTCGTGGAAACCCTCCTGAAAATATTCTGTTTCGGAAAACAGTTCTTTGAACATAAACTTGAAGTAAGTATGGATCTTTCTGTACATATAATGCCTATTAGCGCGTATTTCACGATCTAACCTTAAACGATATACATAAATAGGGCTATAACGGGGTCCATGTGAAGCCTTGCTGACCGATTGGCATGGGGAAGTTTCCTATGAGAGAGTAAATTCCTTTTCGTAAACATGAATGGCAAAACTGATGTTTATCGATAAACCTAACAATTATATATCCCAGTTATGAACGAGACTGACAAATATATTACTAATTTTTAGTGTTCACTTTAGGTATGCCATGCTTTTGTCGTGCAGAACATGCAACAATGTTTCGAGATTTTCTTCCAGATGTCTTTGCAAAGATAGAAGTATGATGCACTAGTTTGTATTGTTCATGTGTTCGCTGCCTTTATGTATCCGTGTTGCCTATATATATCTATATATATATCTGTGTGTTTCAGGTATTTGATGCTTTTGTTGTGTTGATGTCTTTAATTGTCGACCTGGTATTCCTGGAAGGCCTGTCAGGATATTCCCTAAAGGACTTCGTTTACATCCTGGCCTTCATATTACCTTGGGGCGTCATTCGTGTTGTCAACAGTAAGTACCATACATATATATTTGTACATGACGTCACTTACTTCGACATTGCACCGTACTCAGCTTGCATTCATTTTTGATGTGTAAATTCCTGAAATCCCGATTCAATTTGTAAGTTTCTATTAAGCATTCATATTGACTGAATGTCAATTGAGATCAGTTTAATGTTTAAATACCCAAATATATACTTACCAGTTTTAAGTAATCCTTCTCTCATGCAATCATATTCGTTTTAAGAAATCCAGTATTTAGTTAAGCTGAAATATATGCGTCGTGAATGTAATGTTTATAAATAGATAATGACAACCTTTCGGAAGCGTCATTGGTATATTGTATCAAACATAACTATGGTAACGTTATACTAATGATGACGTCAATGAGCTGATTATGACATCCGTATACAGTTTTGTTGTATAGCTTCTAAATGTGGATATTATCTTAAAATGTTAATTAAACATAACAATAATTGATAAACGTGAATATTTGCAACCGGAGACTGTTCTGGTCCCTCTGTGATACTGTTAGAAAAACCGGGACCAATCATGTCATGACGTCAAATAAGATATTTAACAAAACCTCTAAAATGGTTTGAAATTAAACTTTATTTTCTGAATAAAACTGTAGCACGACATTATTTCAACAAAATACCTGTTCAACCATTAAAAATATTTGAACAGGTAAAATATAATTGTATTTGCTGTTTTTACTGAGTGGCATGAGATGGTGACTATGGTGAACAATCTCATCCATTGTTCCCAACTTAGTTCGACGGAATTTCCCTGAAGTTCAGTTGACAAATCACAGATTCTATGTGGGACCATTTACGTCAGGAGATTCTGGTTTATAACCCACTACTCGCGGCTGTTGGGTATGGTCATATGACAAGCGTCTCCAAAGTTACAGAAAGACGAAGTTGTAACAGTTTTAAGGGACACATTCAGAAGGAAGTTACCAAAACGGTGAACTCGGATCTCGGAATATTTTGGCTCCACTAAGTTAACAATAATTGTGTCACGTGGCAAATATCAACACAGGAACAAACATACTCAATGAAACCAAAATCAAAATAATTAGTCAACATGTTCTCGTATACCGACAGTGACAGCGACACACATACGTTTATTACGAAACATTTGAAATTCTTAAGTAGGATATTTATTGATGTTGATATGTAGTATTCTAATCTATGAAAGTCTATCACGAAACAACATTTGTAGAAGACATAACTACAGCTATGTGGAAGCGAAAAAAATCCTTTGCAAAGAAGTAAGACGTAGCCAAAAGCTTTGAGTGATGATTTGAAATCAATGTGTGAAAAAAACGACATTGGAATGAAACGCGTTTGAGAAACAAAATGTAAGCTCCCCTTGTCTGCTACCGGGGAAGCTATTTTCATGAATGCATTCGGTTGGCCATTGGCTCGGCCAATTATTGTTGATTTATTGGTTTTTATCAGAGATACGTAAATTGAATTCAAACTGATTTAGAATGTTGTGAGAGCCTCGTCTCAAACCTGATTGCTTGTCCCTTAGTTCGTTATGCACGTGATACAAGGCGCTCCAACAGACGTGACTCGAGTGCTATTATATCGGCTACTGCCAATTATTGACCAATCAAAATGCAATTAGATCGTCAAGCGCGATGCATGTTCTTCTCGGAACACCCCTTTGGATATCATTATTGCACATGGAAAATATTTATTCGATCGACGTTTAATGTCCTGCATATCCCCTTTTCATTTCAATTGTTGAATGTGATAGAATTAGCTATTAACGCCGTTGTGGGTTGATGAACACTATGGAAGACAGCAGGGAGATGTTTAGTACGAGTGTATGGATCCAATCAGCGGGCAAGTGGCAAAATTACGATTATTACGACCTATGACTAGGAAATCATTTACTGTTACACAATAACACACCACATCCATTAAATCAACGTATCAGCATTCTCCAATGGAACACTCCTTTGACAGAAGGTGTCCTGAGAACAAAAAATCGTTTTCTTTATATAGATGTTACGGTAAAAACATTAATACACGAATGTGATTTGAAAAAATTAAAGCATTGTTCGTGTTTTACTATATCGTCTGCTATCATTGGGATGTTTTATCTGTGATTGCCCTTCAAGTGTTAACTTGCGCTTTAACTAAGAGTTATTGTCTGGACGCCATTACCAGGCTGGCCGAAAACTGCCATCTGTCTCCGCAGATTAAAACCGTGCGACATTGAATGGTTAACCCACTTTCGGATAAAATATGTTTTTATTTGTGTACCATGTTTACGCCAGATAGTTATTTCTTTGGAGGGAAAACACACCCTGTTTTTGTAGACTTCAACTTGGTCCGTAATCGATAAACAACATTTCAATTTCCATTTCAGGTTTAGTTGTAGTCGTCCGAGATCACGAACACTTCCGGTTGAAGTTGCTGTACACTCAGAAGAAGAAAGTCGACAGCGATAATAAACATCTTCGACAAGAAAAGGAAAAACTAAGTGTGAGTGATACGTCACTTCCGGGGGAATTATATTATTGTTGTTTTAAATAATGAGCAATCGCTGGACTTAATTGAATGATGAGATAGGTGAACAATTTGTATCAGTTAAATTTTTTTGAAAGAAAAAAAGTCTCCTCTGATTAGACGAGGACCACATAATAAATACTGAATATTGTTAAACATTTGATCTGCTCGACTGCGAAATTCCTGAAATGATGTTACAATATTGTGTTACAGGACCAGGTTGACTCGTTGAGAAGACTCTGTTTAGGCGAGGGCGTGGACGATTTCCGAATACAGCAGAGTATGAGTACGTACGACATACCGCTACACCACGTGACCACCTAGTTTAGAACATAACTTTTTTCTGTGAAAGCTAATACTGTGTTAATCCTATTCTTATCACTAATAAATTAAACATTTTTTACTTTTTAAAATTATCGATATTTTTAACTAAACAATTCAGGATTTTACCTATCATCTAAACATCACAGGGCCGACATGTTATTGTTTGTGTAGGTTTGTGTAATGCGTTGTAAACAGCTCAAAAGTAATATTTTATTAACTATTTGATAGAAATTATAAAGCTGTTGACGTTCATACAGAATAAAGATGTTAACATCGTCCCTCACACATGAATCAGCTGATAAACAGTATTTATCTTACAGCACGGTCCAGTTCGCGTCCAGGGAAAGGCATCATGGGATCTTTCGCCAGTTTGGCCATGGGTGCAATAGGAGGCGGGAAATCTAACGGCACAAGTTTCTGGAACCTTCTTAACACCCCAAAACTGAAAAGGGGTAAATCAGAGGAGTGGGAGGGAAAACTAGGCGTGTCCAAATTGGACAGTCAGTCAATGCGGTTCAACGAACGGTTATGGACCGTGTCTGGGGTACCAGATATGAAAAAGCCTAAGAAATCTCAATCCTTGACGCAACAGGGAACAATCGAAAGCGAACCCGGAACCCCACCCACCATACGGGGTCGACTAAAGGCACTAAAGCGATTGCTGAAGCGCCAGGAAACGGTCGACTCCTACTCTTCTACGGAAACTATAGACAAAAATTCTCGCTTTTCATTGGACAGACTGTCGTCCTCGGATAATATCACACCATTGCAGAGCGTTGATATTGAAAGTGTGACTGATATGGAAACGGGAGATGAAACTGCTCAAAGAATATCCCTGTCGCCATATGATGTGATAAATGAGTGTATAGAGGATAAATTAGAGGAAAGTTCTAGTGTCGTGAACATTGGATCGGGGGGCATGGTTCAAGAACCCTCGTCCCTGACCAATATCATCGTGACCACGTGTAGTACGGACGATTGTGATAGTCTCACTTTCTCCACTGGAGGTAGCAAAAATTCCTTAAAAAATCGGACGTTCGATGGACGGACGATGGAAATAGCTGTAGATATTGAACACAGTGACAGTGAAATAGTACCCATGCTGCATCACGAACCGGAAGTATCACCTGCTGTCCCCATATTGTCCTCTCCCTCCCTACCGTCAAATCATAAACAAATAGGGTTACCCTATCCGGAAGCGGATGTTACACACAACAGTTGTAGTACGCATGTGGGACATTTACCTAATCTGAACTGTGGACATCATAGCCATTCTTACAATTGCATATCAAGCACAACACAGCACAAAAAAAGTGACGTACCACACACCAATAACACAGGCAAGAACGTTATGTTACCTGTATTAAGGAACCATTCTATGCCGTCGACCTCTGGTGAGACAGGGTCACATTCAAATATTGCTATGCAACCACATCCAGTAAAACCTTGTTCATCGCACCCTGATATGACACCTTCACCGAAAACTACAATAAATCCTACAACGCCACAATACCTTTTGAATTCACAAAATGTTTCTCATTATTCAAAAGGAAATTCACTGAATCCCTCGAAGAGAACGCATCTTCCAAAAACGGCAGTGTCTATGAACAGGGCATACCTGCCGAATATAGATTTCCAAACCAATCAGATAGCTAACACCGGAAGGGCAATCAATCCGACAACAGATACAAATATAGATCATCTTCCGACCAAAAGTCAAGTCTCAGACAACACCCCTTTAGCAGACACCATAAACTCAGCGAGCAGAATTCCTTCATCAGCCGACAGATCACCTTCTCCGAGCAATAACGTACCGGAAACGTCTAACAGGAGCGGGACACATCCGCCAAACATAAACTTTGCAACAAGCAATGAAACTTTACAGCATACAGATAACAAATCTTCACCATTCTCAACCATACCTTCGTCATTTAATTCAAACATACTTCCACTAGATTCCAATAAAACATCACAACCAAGTGAAAAAAGAGCTTCGTCATATTTACTTAACACAAGCAGAACACCTTCACCGTTACAAAACAGGAGAACACGCTCACCTGATGCAGTATATAGGAATTCTTCCTCGTCGCGCAGTCCCTCAGTGCACCGCTCTCCGAGTCCCTCTGGTTTTGTTAGTATACATACATCGAACAGTGACATCACGTCCGGTTTCCGGCCAATACAGATACCAGAAACACACTTAGACTGTCCATTTTTCCTACCAAAACATTTAAAACCGGAATCACCAACAAATTTAAACATCCAACAAAATTCTAGTGAAATCCCTCGTCACCCTCCGCAGAATTTTAGTGACAGCCCTGGTCACGTGCAGGGTAATTCTAGTGACAGCCCTGATCACACCCAGCAAGATTTTAGTGACAACCCTGGTAACATGCAGTTGAATTCTAGTGACAGCCCTGGTCACGCGCAGGGTAATTCTAGTGACAGCCCTGGTCACACCCAGCAGGGTTTTAGTGACAGCGCTAGTTACACTCAGCAAAGTATCAGTGACAGTCCTGTTCACATCCAGGAGAACTCTAGTAACAGTCCGGATCACTATCAGCAGAATTTAAGTGACAGCCCCGGTTCTGACAAGGAAAGGCAAGGGCCTATGTCCTATTTAGTAGACACACAGTGTCCGGACAAACTTGCTCTACAAAACAGAAACAATTTCCATCATTACCCTTCGAGGAAGACGCAGGGGGGTAACCACGCGTTCAACGGCCCGACACAGATGGAGTTATCGGACGCCATTAAGAAACGTATATCAGAGATTTCTCAGAAAAGTCTGGACCATTTCCCAACCTCCCATGCGTCCGATCCAGCCATTCAAAGGCGCTCATCTATGCATTAACTTAATGCCACTCGTACAGCAATAGGACATGTAAGTGGAATTCATTCAAATGTAAATAGTTCAAATGTCAATAGCACATTCAGAACTGAAGCTGTTTCTGTTTCCTTGTACACTGTTATTACATATCAGTTGTTCCAGTAAGTAAGCACCGCTGGCGGTGTCCCATTAGTTGTATATGTACGTACAATTTAGCTTTATTAACGGAACGACAAACTCTTTGAAAACAGTGCGCATGTGACGTCAGTTCTAAAACAAACATTAGCTCTAAAAACGAGCTGTTACTTTTAGTTAGAAATTAAACATTTTTTCTGACTCCGCTATGAAATGTTCTAACTGTATGTTATTCTCAACAGAGACCAAAATGGCTTTAATGCCGATCGAAAATTTCACGTTAAGTTTGGATGAAAATGCTAGCTGTATGTACCTGCTAAAATATAACTTTTTACCACATCTTTATAATAGCGTGTCTGATGAAATACACTGAACTTGTATCGGGTAAAAAATAATTCCACCCTCGGGATTTTCAAATTTGGCAAAACCCTCGGCAGAGCCTCGGGTTTTACTAAATTTGAAAACCCCGAGGGTGGAATTTGCCTATCCTACACCCCTGTTCATGAAAGAGTCTTATATTACTATTCCGTCTTTGCGTATTGCAGAGTTATCTTCTCTTGAGAGCAGGTATTGATTGTTACGTCATTTGTTTGTGAGAGTAACGTCATCAATTTTTGAGAAAATGACGTAATTTTCTCACACAAACCAATGACGTAACAATCAATACCTGCTCTCAAGAGAAGATAACTCTGTAATACGCAAAAACGGAATATCATGAGCAAGAACCACAACACCGGAGTAGCGAAAACAATGGCGCGGAAGCCTCTCCATGTTCACGTTTGCATTTTTGTTTGTGTAATAATATATTTATTGACATTGCGGTAGGGAAACAAGACTTTTTGTTTCACGAGATTACTCATGTATCACCCAGGCTTCGCCCTCGTGAAACATGATTAATCTCGTGAAACAAAGGATCATACTTCCTACAACAAGGGAATTCAATACATGTTATACTGTAATAGCTTTGTAAACAAAAATTGAATCTGAAAATATTAAGTGGGTTTGGTGCCAGGAACTTCGGTCATTACGACTCACGAGAAAGTAAAACTTTTGTCTGAGTCCAAACACGTCATAAATTACTCGTATCACGGTCACTTCATGCATAAATATGTTGGGCAGATTCATCATAATTTATCATATATTCAGATAGGTGTTAACTAAACATTAATGTTGTCAATATGGCAATGCTTAAAACTCTGACTAATTGAATCTTTGATCAAAGCAAACGTTTTTCAAGTGATGATCAAAAATGGAATTTGGCTTTTGTAATAATTGTGTAGCATTCAAAGAATTAAAGATAAATGAAAAGATACACGAAAGGATTTTTCATTTTGTCATTACCATTCTCCCCTATCTTGAGGCCAATTGGTATATCGGGTTCGGTCCGTCGCAAGTAACATGTTGCTGTGTCTATTGACAGCAGTCTGCTGCGTAGTCGATAGAGTGGAACTTGGGTGTTTCAAATCGCCAGCAGTATGTTTTTATGTCGATACAGTGGATACTTGGAGTTTTTTTTTATCGCCATAACTATCTTGTTGCATCCAAACAGCGGTTACCTGGCGCTTTATATAGTCAGCAGTCTGTTGCTGTGCCGATAGAACGTAACTTATGCGCTTTGTATCGGCATCAGTCTGTTGTTTTGTCGATAGAACATAATTTGGGCGTTTTATATAGTCAGCAGTCTGTTGTTTAGTGATTAGAACGTAACTAAGGCGCTTTATATAGTCGGCAGTCTGTTGCTGTGTCGATAGAACGTAATTTAGGTGCTTCAATCGTCATCAGTCTGTTGTTTTTTCGATAGAACATAATTTAGGCGCTTCATATCGTCATCAGTCTGTTGTTTTGTCGATAGAGCGTAATATAGGCGCTTTATATAGTGTATCGTCATCAGTCTGTTGATGTGTCGATAGAACGTAATTTTGGCGCTTTATATCGCCAGCAGTCTGTTGTTGTAACTTTGGCGCTTTATATTATCATCAGTCTGTTGATGTATCGATAGAAGGTAATTTAGGCGCTTTATATCGTCATCAATCTGTTGTTGTGTCGATAGAACATAATTTAGGCGCTTTACATCGTCATCAGTATGTTGTTTTGTCGTTAGAACGTAACTTAGGCGCTTTATATAGTCAACAGTCTGTTGTTTTGACGATAAAATGTAATTTCGGCGCTTTATATCGTTATCAGTCTGTTTCTGTGTCGACAGAACGTAATTTAAGCGCTATATATAGTCATCAGTCTGTCGTTTTGACGATAGAATGTAATTTCGGCGCTATATATCGTCATCATTCTGTTTTGTCGATAGAATGTAATTTAAGCGCTTAATATCGTCATCAGTATGCTGTTTGTCGTTAGAACGTAACTTAGGCGCTTTATATTGTCATCAGTCTGTTGTTTTGTCGATAGAACATAATTTAGGCGCGTTATATTGCCAGCAGTGTCTTGCTGTGTCGACACAGTGAGTACTAGCCACCTTAATAATATCGTGACCTTTCAACCAGAAAACTCCTTAAACCTACCCGAGAATTACGAACAAACCTAGGCAAACATTGGTTAAGTGTGTACGAAGAGCATAAACAATATTTGATATTAGGTAGATACAAATGAATCTTTGTGAATTGTACCATATGTACTGATGTTTTGTATTTCGGTATCAGGAACATCCATGATCAGATTAGATACAGTATTGATGCCTTCTTTAGACTATTTGTGAGTTTCAGAACTGATAAGAATTTCTAACAGCAAATATACTTTCCTCAATCTACACAACTTACATTCATCATGTTGATAGGCAGAAACTGGATTTCTTCTTATTCTGCAATCAAACTTGGTATGTGAAAATGGAAATAATCCGGACTAATATATTTCATTGTAGTTGTATTTAAGATGTAAATAATGTACATAAACAAACTGTTTATAGCATGTAACCATGTACATACACAGACGACATGTACTACTATTTATACCTGTAGCACCCGACTTATGCAAACAAACAACACGTTTTAGATGGTACATTTTGTTGAGATATATTGAGGTCTATGCAAGTTAAGATAGTTTTCATTGTGTTATAAGTTTACGGATGTGATCCATGATGCAGGATGATTGGTTTAAAGTACATAAAGGGTGAATTTGATGTATTAAACGGTTAAAATACACAAATCAAACTGTGTCGGATGAGTGTACAATTAAAAAATGCTATTGAAGATTTAGAAGATGTTCGGTTAGAAAAAGAGAGTATTCAATTTTGTTGCAAGTAACAAGGAGTTTCATGATTCTTTCAAGTTGTCTCGAACATCATAACGAAGAGGAAATGACGTCATCATGATAAGAAAGATTGACAGGAAACTTACGTTTCAAAGCAGTTTGGTATGCAATTTGAAACTGACTTTGCATCGACTGGATAGTTTATCTTTCATTCTTCATCACAGAGGAAAGACAGAGAAACATAAGAATATGAAATAGAAAATTGTAAATGATGAAATACTATGAATCTTGTATATACCTTTTTTTGTTATATAGACAAAACTTTGCTATTTTTCTGTTTTTGTTTTGCTCAAATATCTTAAGCAATAAGTGTTATATTTCAAAGCATATGGATATGTATAGATTGACTAATGTACACTATGAAAACTTTTCTTGTTTACAAATTGTTGGTGATAGCTACCTTACTATGTTGACACTACGGATGAAATAAATTGGTAGTAAAAAGGTTCCTGATTCCTTTTTTTTTCTTTTTTTAATTTATGAGTCTATTGCCCTCATCATCTCTACACAAGCTACTTTTATCAGCTTCAGCAGGTGGATGTCTGTTTCTCCCACCCTTCACATGTGTGTCTCCCGTTTGAGCCGGGTAAGATCAGCTTATTCTCCCACCCTTCACAGGTGTGTCTCCCGTTTTAGACGGGGAAGATTCTATTGGGAAAGATTAATAGAATCTTCCCCTACTTTGAGGGTGTGATCGAGAAATCTCCAACCCGAGGGGTGATGCTTTTTTTGGTTGTCTAACCCGAGGCTTAGGGTTAGACAACCAAAAAAATCACCCCGAGGGTTGGTGATTTCTCTGTCACACCCTTAAGGTAGGGGATGATTGGTTTTATCCCATCCTATTATTTCAGTCACAATTCGACCGATTATAGTCTGTTTGTAAACAAAAACATATGTGGGTATGAATTTCGTAATTCACTTTTGATGACGTCACAATTACCAGTGACACATTTTAATGATGTCACAATTGAACCCGTGATAATCAGCACGAGACTATCTTCCTCTAGGTGGTGACTAATACACTCTTCCCCTCCCCTGAGGGTGTGACAGAGAAATCTCCAACCCTCGGGGAGATTTTTTTGGTTGTCTAACCCTAAGCCTCGGGTTAGCCAACCAAAAAAAGCATCACCCCTCGGGTTGGAGATTTCTCTGTCACACCCTCAGGGTAGGGGAAGAGTGTATTAGTCACCACCTAGAGGAAGATAGTCTCGAGCTGATTAGCACGGGTTCAATTGTGACATCATTAAAAGGTGTCACTGGTAATTGTGACGTCATCAAAAGTGAATGACGATATTCAGCCTCGGGTTAGACAACTAAAAAACAACATCCCTCGGGTTGGAGATTCCTTGTCACACCCCTCAAGGTAGGGGAAGATTTTATTAGTCCATCACTTTAAACATACCCAAGTCTTTTACATGATTTCGCTGTGTAACATAACCTGTCATTGCCGATCCATTGACCACCTTTCTCCAATACGCATTCTGTGACGTTTTACATAGGTGGGTTCGAAGCGTCTTGATGGGCTTCATGGTTATCGCTATGCCATGGCCGCAATACATGTTCCTCGATATGTTTCCTTGGTAGGTTGATCTTGTTCTTCCCCTTGCATTCGAATGTTTTGTTTACTCTCTTGGGTGCCCAATTCGAACATCCACATGTTTTCATTTCTCTTGAGTGCCCCATCCGGATTATCCACATGTTTTCAATTAACCCGTGGGCGTGATTCTGTTCTAGCTTTTTATCCTGCTGTTCTGTGATAATCGTATCACATCTCATTCTGTTGAGCAATGTAGGTACATGTACTACGACCGAATGCTTTTTCAAAGGGTGTACACGTGTAATTTGAGGTTCTGAATTGGTTAATATACGTCTATTTTACTATAGACCAATACCTTCTTCGTTCCGTCACGTGTACCAGTAGAGAATCAATGAAGGGCATAGTGCCGTTCAGTTCATCCTCCCATATTAATTTGATGCTGTGTGTGGAATGTTCGGCGGTGATACTATCTGTAGTCAATATTTCAAGGATCCTTTCTTGATTGTTTTGTCGTTAACAGGTCGTTTTCATATGCTTATCTGGCTCTCTATAAAGGAAATGAATATGGCTCTTTGCTGCTCTAGATGTTTCACGAACAAATTAACTATGACGTGAGACA